ACTTGGATTCCATTGGTCTTGGGGTGAATTGGTTTAAAGGCTTTGAGGTGAATTTCATTGGATTATTTGGTTTGACTTGATTGAGGTGAATTGAATTACAGTATATTAGATTATTTGAGTGGTCTTACATATGATTTATGTTTTTGGCTATATTTACGAGAATTTTGGTGGTTTATGTATATTGCCATTTTAGAATTATTATGATTTGGAAATATGTACCTATAATTGGAATATTATTATTTTACATATGATTTTGTGATGAGAAGTTTTCATAAAATGTTTCAAGAGGTTTCCTCCCAAATGTTTTCACAAAATGATATATATGTATCAAACATGATTATTTTACAGGTTTGGGTGGGCCTTACTTAGCATTTCCAGCTAATTTTTGTATCTGTGTTTTTCTTTCTGTACTTTATTTGTGCAGGAATTGAGGATCATGTTGAAGTTGATTTCGACAGCTTCCGCTAGAACACATAGACTAAAGTGATTGAGTAATTTATTTTAGTCTTAATTTTAAAGAATTGTAGTTGAACAAATAATTATGGAAAATTTTAATTTGTTGGTGGTGGATAGCCTGTGCACTCGGTTATGTGAGAACCGAGTGTGGCGGTAACGCCCCTGTTTTCTTTGGAATTGATGAGCTAGCTATAACAAATATGTGGGGCATAATTCAGATGGAGGATATGTCAACGCTGGAGATATACATTGAGGAATCCTGTGACACTTATGGTACTCAATCAACATCACATGTTGTTGTATCCAGGCATGATGTCATTGCAGGGGTGAATGCACGGAAGTCGTCAAAGGTTCCTGTACTAGACATGGTTATACAGGAGCGGCATAAGCATGTACTTTCCCCCGTTCATGGGAAATTTCATTTTCAACCGCAATGAACGGCTGGGATGAATCATTGTGGCTGCATGTATTTTTTGAAGGATCTCGAGCATGCAAGCGCCACGAGAAACCATGACAAAGCTCGTTCTGCCACCTTCATGGCATATTTGCCCACCATTCTCATAATAGTTCTCTCCCCAATGACACACGAGTGGGAAGCTTGAGAAATCCATATTCTAATAACAATTCATTGTCCAACATTCATGAGTAGGCATCAATATACACACTTTATACACATTCACATTTTTAATAGAAATTGCTTCCAAAATTGTAATATATCATTAACTCCAAATTCACAAACAATTCACATTTCAATAACAAACTACCCAAATTTTGATATCTACATTCAATGTCTACCTTTGAATACCCAAATTTAGGTACATTCAACTATACCCAAATGCCCAAATGTCAAAATACACATTACAATTTACAAACAATTTAAAATCAAATTTCAACATTTCATACATATCCACATTTCACAACAACTTCATTCACAATCAATTCATAATCCCAAAATTAAAAAAAATTAACATTCTAAACCCTAAGTGCAAAATTATATGAAATGGATTTGGATTTACCTAGAATAAGGAGTAAAGAGTGTTGAAGATGAAGATGGAGGGTTGCCGGAGTGGGGTCGCCGGAGATGGAGGAGCGCCGGAGTTGGAGATGGAGGTTCGTCGGTCGTCTTCTTCGTCCGTCGCAGCAGCTCAGTTCAATTGGGGCTAAATGTTTTCTGCGTTCTGTTTGTGGCCGCCCCCGTTTTTACTTAAGGGGTAAGTCGCCCAACGGTTGGGCGACTTATAAGTCGCCAAACGGTTTGGCGACTTATAAGTCGCCCAACCGTTGGGCGACTTACCCCTACCATGGTTAACCCAACAGTATTTTGGTAAATATTTTTAACCCAACCCTATTTTCGTAATTAATTAATTAATTAACATTAATACGGAAAAAAACTCAAGAATAATAGGAAATTTCCTAATTAAATAAGGAAATAACTTGAATATGAAATAACTAGGATCTAATTAATTAAATGCTGCCAACTTTCCTAATTGAATTAGGAAATACTATGAATTGAAAATAACTAGGATCTAATTAATTAAATGCTGCCAGCTTTCCTAATTGAATTAGGAAACACTATGAATTGGCCCTGATCAGCCACATAAATCACCTTGATCTTTCTTGATTGGCCCAACTATATTTTCTAGATCTTCTAGGCCACACCTTTGTTGATATACTTGTCCATAGAATGGATCCAGAATAGTAACTTGATTTTGAGAACACCTTGGATGATGACAAGAGAGGTGTCTAGAGGTCCACCTAGGTGAGGCGACCCCAAGCAAAAGTCAACTATGAATAGTGAATTTTGAGTAGCTTGCAGAAGTAGTGTACGGCCTTTATGGATTGAGCTCAAACTTGGGGTTTGAGGTCACCAAGAGGTAGCAATCCAACCACAAGCTCAGTTTCGCAATCCAACCAAAGGAGTATGATCTTAACTCAAAGTTTGGTTTCGGTCAAGAAGGTTTGAGGTTTTTTTTTATGGATCGAGGTAGAAGATCCATGATAATACTCTACTTAAGGAAGGAGAGAGTAGTATGTTGGATGTTCTAGCTCCGGTGAAGTGGTGGTGGTGGTGGTGGTGGCGGATGGTGGCGCGAGAGATCGAGGAGAAGAGGACCGTTGGGTCACTTCTTGAGAGTGAGCTCTCAACTCTCACTTTTTTTATGGGATAAGAGTCAGTTTGCTCTTCGAAGTTGCAAAAAAGGGGTCAAATAAGTCCTTATATAGAAGATTCTGTCCGGACGTGTCATTTGAGGTGGCTCCCGGTGGAATTTTTTGATGAAATTTTTTGAGCATCTTATTCATTAAGTCTAGTTTACTCATACCAAATTTCAGATAAAAATTCAATCGGGAAGACATTCAAATGAATTCTTGAAGATAACTATGTCATTAAAAGCGCAGTTTTCTTCAAGAAATCATTTGAATGTCTCCCCGATTGAATTTTTAGCTGAAATTTGGTATGAGTAAACTAGACTTAATGAATAAGATGCTCAAAAAAATTTATCAAAAAATTCTACCGGGAGCCACCTCAAATGGCACGTCCGGACAGAATCTTTTATATAAGGACTTATTTGACCCCTTTTTTGCAACTTTGAGGACCAAACTGACCCTTTACTCCTTTTTTTATGTTCTCACGGATTTACATGATGATATAATAGTAATAATAATGCCTCTCATTCTGGCATCCCATAAAAGGAAACTACGAGAAAAGATACTAACGAAAAAAGGCATAACGTATAAATAGCCTTTGAATCCAAACGAAACAACATAAAAATGGAACAGTTCATAGTAATCAAAGCATAAATAATACGGAGTATGTAGATGATGGACAGCAATTAGGCCGGCATTACTGTATGGCACGGAGTGTTGGGCGGTGAAACAATGTCACATTCAAAAGATGAGTGTGGCAGAGATGCGCATGTTGCGTTGGATGTGTGGGCATACTAGAAAGGACCGCGTGAGGAATGAGACAATTAGACAAAGGGTGGGAGTAGCACCTATCGAAGATAAGATGCGGGAGTCACGCCTACGGTGGTTCGGTCATGTGCATAGAAGACCGAGTGATGTACCTGTCAGACGAGTTGAGATGTGTGGAGAAGAGGCAGGGAAGAAAGGGAGAGGAAGGCCCAAACAGACGTGGGTTAGGGGAGTCAGAAGTGATATGTTTCTTCTTGGATTGGATGAGGGTATGGCTTTGGAGAGAGCAAAATGGAGGGCGGGTATTCGTGTTGAAGAGTGATCTTGTATCATCTTTTTTTCTTTTTTTTTTTTCTTTTTTCTTTTTTCTCTTTTTTTTTCTTTTTTTTTTCTTTTTTTTTTCTCTTTCTTTTTTTTTCCTTCTTTTTTTCTTTTTTTTTTCCCTTTTTTTCTTCTTCATCTTCTTCTTCTTTTTTCTTTTTCTTTTGTATCTTTATCCTTATATATAAATATTACTTTATCCTTTTTATTTGATCTTTTATATGTATATTCATCTCTTTTATATTATCTTTTTTTTTTATAATAGCTTATCTTTTTTATCTTTATTTTCTTTCTTTTCCTTTTGGTGATAATGTGATATCATATATCGATTCATGTTAGCCGACCCCAATATCGTTTGGGACTAAGGTTTGGATGTTGTTGTTTTTTTATGTAGATGATGGACCTTAGATTTTTGTGTTAGAAACTTGATGACATTCTTTACTCTGTTCTTGTTGGAGTTACCATACTGCCCCTGTACTTTCACCGTACAACTTGACTTCTTCAAAGAAGTTCTCAGGTGGAAAAAAAACATTGTAATGGCGGGGTGGCGTTGCAATAATTTTTTCTCAGTTGCTGAAACTTAGGCCCTCTATACCTTTAAGGGTAGAATCGAAATTTTTAATATTGGTTTTACTTGTTGAGGAGTTGCGCTTGTGATTTACGTTTATTAGTTTATTAGTTTACGTTTAACTCCTATTTAAAGTGATTTCTTAGTTATTAAGACTATATATATACTCTATATGATAAATTAAATATTCAAAACAGTAATTAGCTATTGAGAAGAAAAGCTGGTTGGCTGGTTGCTGTTCTTAGAGTCAAAGTAATTGTATATTTTTATAGTGTCGGTTTTCCTTAACTTTTGATTAGATCAGCTATGTATGAAAAAAGAGCATATGAATCATTCTGGGCCAGAAAATATCAGTTCCAACAACCAAGATCAAACTTTTTTACACCCAGCATATTTTGATTCAGATTCCTTAACTTTTGTGTTCAAGAACTGCTCAAATAAGGTGGTTTGCTGGATTTAATGGGAGATCAGAGCACCTAGCTAGATACTAACGAGCTAAGCTAAACAGACCCTAATCAAGGTGTTAATTTGAACATACCCTAACCGGGCGGGTTCCATTGCCAAATACAGAGGAGTAGTAGTACTTTACCACCAGCTATTAGGCACAACCGCCACAACGTTTTTACAAAAATGAATTTAACAATAAGTTGATATAGTATCACACAATTATCATTAATACAAATAGGACATACGCCCGATAATCTCGACAAGGAGAATAAGGAACATTTCACTTGTTTATTTAGCTGAAATCATTTTTACTGGACATTTAGCAAATTTAATCCACTCCAGCACTGTTAAGTGAGAAAAAACATTCCACTGATCGCAAATCTTGTATTTATAGTAGTATAACATATACAAAAACCCATCTCAACATGCAAAATCCTAAAAACTAAGTCCCTCTTTTGTGACAACTAGGTGTTGAACTACTCCCAATCTTTTAGACAAAATGGCATGGGGAATGGAAAAGAACCAGACTAATTGAAACTATGCTTCTAGCTTCACGGGCGGACTCTTCTTTAGAACATAAAAATCCTTGCAAGTATGAAACAAATAAAGATTAGTATTATCAGCATTTGTCGGAGTTGTCGGTCCATGGAATAGCGAGCTATGTTTTGAACCTTTCTGTTTACTTTGGACAGACTCAGTCGTATTCATATAGTTGTCGGAGTGCCTTGACAGACTCAGTCGTATTCATATAGCTTGGCCTCCAAACATTATGGCTATGTCCTCCCCTTTCACCAGACCACAGAGTTTTGGGGGTTGAGATAGACGATGAGTCAGTGGTTGTTGCTCTATCATCATCTAAAGGATATTTTGAAGTCTGATCAGACAATGTGCGCACCAGGACTTTCCCACGCCTTGATTCATTTCCCAAAACCCGTGTAGAAGATTTGTGGTTTCTCTTGATCTTCACTGACTGGTTGTGATCAAGTGGTTGGGAGAATGATCTTGTTGGTCCTGAACGTCTGGAAACGGCAGTTTCACCATCTTCAATTACTAACCAGCTAGAGTCCTGCCCCTTGTTATGATCATCCATCTTTAGAGTCACCCTCTTGTTTGTTCTTGAATATGAGGAAACTTTGGTTCTTGGTTGCTACACAATTGTATCAAGACACATCATTACATCACAGCTATGTAAAAAGAACTAAGCAGAGAAAATAAATCAAGAACCAGAATTAGAATTCAGGTTTGTTACTTTGATATGAAATAACTTCCATATTTCGAATGAGGAGAACTAAATTAAGTTTAACTACGCATTCGTATCAGGACAAAACATTAACCCAAATTTCAATCTATCGTATTATGTAGGTTTGTTAAATTTGATAGAATAAAATAATATTGATGTAGCGTCTCAAAGTGATTGATTTAAAAAAAATATAAGAGTTATTAAATGAGGCAATCAATTATTTAGGTTAGGTTAGTGGAATTAATATAAATGGTTCATGATTATGGTATTTATTAAGTGACTGCAATGTATCAACAAAACTAAAACCATGAATGATTTAATTATTGATGTGTGCTTGAAAAAATCAAAATGGCAATCAAGTAAAATTAGTAATACATTTAAAGCATTACAACATATATGAGGCTATACTTGTGTTCTCCTCGGACGCATATCCATTTCATTTATAAAACTTTTCCTTTGGTGCCTACAGATTTGAGCAACTATAGTCCTTTTACCATGCTCTCATGTCATGCATCGTACATAATATCTTTAGCATATTTACGGATGTACGTGCTTAATTTGTACACCTCCGGAATGACTAGATTTACAGTTATTTGTAAACGTGCACACCTGGCATCACATTTTGCTTCCAATATATTGCTTCCTATATATTGGTGCATAATCGTCGACCGCAACCAAATGAATCGTCATGGTGTGATTGTGCAGGATAACAATACATCATTGTCTTTGCTGTGAAAGATCCATAACATCACCTTCTATATGTCATTCTTCCAAATGTTTTCTAGATAAAGAAACTCATCTTACTCCCGCATCAAACTGGTGTTGCGTTCGTGACGCAAATAGCAGTTAGAGAACTTTGTCATAAGTTGTCCTGACAAGTTATTCGCGTCGGTGGCGCGAATAATCGGAAGCATCGGACATCCCTTTACAACTAAGCCATAAATTATTTGGCAACATACAAAAATGTTGTGTCAAAGATACATCAACGTACATATTGTTTCTAACAAAAGTAAATGTAGATAAAAATTACTCCCTCCGTCCCTATTATATCTTCCAAATAGGTTTGGCACGAAGTTTAAGATAGTGGGTATTGTGTGGTGGAGAGTTGTGCAGAGGAGAGAGAAATGTGTAAGAATTGCTGTGAACCACAAATTCTGGCCAAAAAAGAAAAGTGGAAGTTTTAATTGGGACAGACGAAAAAGGAAAGTTGGAAGTTTATTTAGGGACGGAGGGAGTACAAATTATTATATACTTCGTTGTAATCAACATTTAAAGTGTTCTTGACCAATTTTACATCATCATCACATATAATAAACTTTAACCCAGAAGACTATGTTACTCTTGAGACCGTGACGTAAAGTTGTCCATGGGTGAAAGCCGGACGATGTAAGAAAACACTAACCCTCTCCAAAATTGTCTGTGACTCTTATTAATTAATGGTTATTGATGGAGTAATAGGACTAGGCCCAGAGCCTAATCGGCCCAAGCCCCGAACTTGGACCCGTGGATCCAAGTTCATGACCTGGAACCTATCTACCAGTCCAGCGGGGAGCCTGTCAGTCCGCCCAACCTGCCAGCTGGGAAAAGTAACGGTCAAGCAATTAATGTGTTGTTTAATTATGTATTTAATTTCGTATTAATGTTGTAATTAATTAGTCATTATTATCGATAGCGGTTACGATTTGTATACGCCTATAAAAGGCAGATTGTAATTCAAATTAGGGGGAACTTCGATATGCTATTTCTGGCTACCAAACTCTCTAGCTACCTTCCTTACTCGTATTACTTTCCTGATTTCTGCTTGAGTGTTCTTACGTAGCTTTCCTAAAAGCCTACGAGCGTCCTATTTTGGACCAACATTGGTGCTTTCATTGAGAGCTTCCAGTCTCTCATCACTCTGGCAAGAAATTTCAGAAAAGATGAGCGAAGATCGAAGGTTTCAAACAGTTTTCAGGTATGCAATTCACAATCTTGAAAAAAGCCAGCAAAAAACTGTTCCAAAAATTCAAAAAAAAAAAAAAGAAATTTGGAATGATCCAAGCTTTCCATGTGATATCCGACTCCGGTAGAATCTGTCAACCGGGGCAGTCACAGCCGATCAGAAATGGACGGAAGAAACAACAACATCCAACCCATTTCGGCGACCAACCACGTCACTCCCCGACTTGGTCGGCTGCTGCTCACCCATCCACCTTAGGAAATCACTAAACCATCCGCCTCTCTATTAGCGCAACTTGAAGTATCCATCGGCTGAAGGTGATTTCCGCAAATCACCTTAATGGTGGCTCGGTGTTTGTGAGGTGGCAGGAGGGACTATCTCCGACCAGACCTTCTTTCCTCAGAAAGCGACGGGAGAAGTCGTCTACTCGCCGGCTGGAGTCTCATCGATTTTCCCCGGTGGGTAACAATGGCGGATGGAATTCTCTCCAGCGACCTCCCCATCCCGGTGACCCGGTGGGTCAACCACCTTCAGTCAAGCTATAAATCCACCGGCGGCAGATGATTCAGGTCCTTCCCTCCCCGACTGGCAGCACCGACTCTACCCATCGCTCCTCCCGACGGCAGCAGTAGCCAGTGCCCAGCGGTCATGAGATCTTGCTGCGCTCTAGAGGGTTCCCCATTTGTCACTTGGGGCAGACAGCATTTACGGGCCAAGCCCATCTGGACTGGTTTTCTTTTGGAATGAGCTGCACAAAATATATAAGCTAAGTCTACTCTTCAATTTTTAATTTTATACGAAATATTATCATTAAAAAATTGATTAGATTCAAAAAGAATAAATCGTAAATTGAAACACTTGAAAAGTATTAAGTGGTATAATTGCTTTTACTCTTTTCAAATGTGTGTAATTTTAACATTGAAAACGGACTTATGAAATCCGATCACTCACGTACACCGGACGAGCACACACACTCGGACAATGGTCGAGCACACACACTCGCGCCACCGGATCACGTCATATGGGTGTGGCGATTAATAAGCTCCAATATAAATGTTAATACCGCACACTCTTGATTTCATACGAGTTCTTGTGTGCTCTTACCCCTTCCCAGTGCATCACACTCCGACCTCGGGGGACGTGTCGCCCGTTCAAAAGTCTTCACTTGCGGGTTCGAACTACTAACCTCGGGTGCCGAGTTAAACTCTTGTTAGGGGCCTAGAGCCACACTCTTCCGAGCAATTTTTTTCACTTAATTGACATTCACATTTCCCGAAAAAGGTCGATATACTTTAGTTCTGTGGGGTTGGATTATCCGTTCGAATGGTGACTCCGAGTCACTCACTCGCGGATTCAATCTTCCTTTCGGAGACTGGGTTAAGGCCTAACTTGGGAAATTGATGTCACTCTTTTCAAGTAGTGAGTCCGACTCACTCGCTAACTGAGTCGTGGTTCAACACCAGACCAAATGCTCTATTATACACCTGTTGCTTTTATGTGTAGGTATGACTGAACGAGGAGTAGCCTGATGAGTTCAAGCCCGACGAGAAGAACGGTTCTAGTCATCCTCTTCACAGATGGCGAGCATTGCAATAAAGGCTGAGGATTTCACCTCTTGCTTCATCTTGGGGGCGTCAGGTGTACTCTTTTTCCCTTCATTGGGATTTTTTCCCATTGGGTTTTTTCCTAATGAAGGTTTTTGATGAGGCATCTCCCCGAAATGGACAAAGGCGGGGATCTTCCAGTCTCGAAGAAGAGCAACTGACTTGGACTACTCCCTCTTAGCCGAGTTTACTACTCGACTAAGGGAGTGGGGGACTCGTGATGGAGTAATAGGACTAGGCCCAGAGCCTAATCGGCCCAAGCCCCGAACTTGGACCCGTGGATCCAAGTTCATGACCTGGAACCTATCTACCAGTCCAGCGGGGAGCCTGTCAGTCCGCCCAACCTGCCAGCTGGGAAAAGTAACGGTCAAGCAATTAATGTGTTGTTTAATTATGTATTTAATTTCGTATTAATGTTGTAATTAATTAGTCATTATTATCGATAGCGGTTACGATTTGTATACGCCTATAAAAGGCAGATTGTAATTCAAATTAGGGGGAACTTCGATATGCTATTTCTGGCTACCAAACTCTCTAGCTACCTTCCTTACTCGTATTACTTTCCTGATTTCTGCTTGAGTGTTCTTACGTAGCTTTCCTAAAAGCCTACGAGCGTCCTATTTTGGACCAACAGTTATCGCATAACTAAGGATCAAGGGGAACTGCCTACGCTGAAATGTGAACGACAATTTTAATGTAGGTCAAATGGAGTCAAACTAAGCTTGAGAATAAGAAACTTTTGTCCGGTATTAGTTCAAGGCATCATCCAAGGCCTGAAAATATGAGTTTCAAATTTAGTGATGATGAGTCAAGTGCCATTACACAATGAGTCAATTCCCTAAATAGGACTAAAAAGTGGCAAAATTGCACAAATAGGACTACATTTTTTAAATTCCCTTAATAGGACTATTTATGTGTGTTTGGACAAATATACCCTTGTAACTTGTGAAATGTTTTAATTAATAATAAAATCATAAAAAAATTAATAAAAATCGAAAAAAATACTAAAAATCGTAAAACAATAATAGAAAATTAATAAAAATATTTTTTAAAAAAAAAAAATAAAAAAAAAAATTTTTTAAAAAAATAAAAAAATTAATTAAAAAAATCATAAAATTAAAAAAAAAAAACATTACCACCCCTGCCACCCCTAGCACTACCATCTCCCATCACCGGAGAAAAATATGCCAACATTTTAAATAATGCCATAATGATGGCATATTCAATGAAAATGTTGGCATAGATGTTTTTTAATGAAGATGATTTTTTTATAAATAGAAGTGAAAATCAAATGAATTAGATGAAAACATCTCCAATTAAATAAGATTGTGAATCTACTGCTTAAGGTAACAAATGGAAATGGAAAATAGAAATGAAGTCGAATAGAAAAATATAACTCAAAATAGAAACAAATAGAAAATTCTGTACAAACCAAACATGCAAGAAAATAGAAGGTTAACCGATTCATCTCAAGAGTCAATTCTTCAAATAAGACCGCCTGTGCGTGAAGAAATGAAATCTCTGTGGAGCAGAATAGTTCTAGCTTTTTGAGGCTTTACTATTTGCACTGATGATATCAACCTTTCTCACATTATTGTTAAAACTAAAAATTTTTAAGGGAGTTTTCAATTTTCAATCTTAAAACAAAGTAGTCATAAACCTGTAAGAATCTTATAAGGCCAATCCAAACATATATCATAAATACATAACACTCTTACTCTCTAGCTATATGTATTATATTTTAAAGACACTATCACATGAAAAACTTTTTTAGCAATGTAGTTCTGTTATTAAGAGGATTAATTAACTGGTAGTTAATCAATAAAGGCATATAAATGAAACAAGCAACATTTCGAACCTTTTGGTGCAAACAAATATATTCAAGGTTTTGATTGCATATGATGTAAATTAAAGAAAAATAGTTGAGTTGATTTGGGTTGAATCTAGTATAAATTAATGAATAAAGTTGATAGAAACATCTTATCAAAAGCTGATAGAAACCCCATATGTTTTATTGATATAAAAGTGTGAAATCAATTAATATATAGTGGAATACCTTGCTAGAATCCCCTTTATCAAAAGTAGATGATCAGAATATTAACCAAACCACAAAATCATATAAAAGTGTAAAACATATTCATATAAAAGAGTAAAATATACTGATATAAAACTGAAATGGGAAATTCCATAATATAACGCCTAACACATGCATAGCTTAGATCCATTTTAAGTTCATTATACATATTGATGAAGATGCCTACTGCCACAAAATGAAAAAAGGGAGGTGAAGGGGCTCCGGTGCAGTATAGAAATGAGAAAGAATTACTTTACCCACATTATTTTGATTTCCAGAAATTGATCTTAGTTTCAGGAAGGATAATGACCAAAAGCACCATTAGCTCTGAAAAAGGAAAGTCACCACAGTTAGTCTTTAAACGATTGTTCAAAACCAAGCTGATCTAGATCATTAATCTCATGACAAAAGGACAATCAGAAATTTTGATTTAAACAAACTTAATGTTTAAATATGTTAGGAAAACCATATGTTTCTTACTACGGAGTTTATAAAGCTTAAAACAACATAATTTTAGCTTAAAAAGATTGTTAAAAACCAAGCAAGGATAATTACAAACCCTATGACAAAGAGCAGAAATCTAAGCATAGGTTTAAGTAGTGAAAACTGCACTTTTCAATACTTATGTAGTATAATATTAGTGTTTCCAAATCATAGCCCAAAAAGAAAGAAAAGATTGCATTTTTACATGAGAATCACATGTTGGAGTAATACATGTTCATTATTATGCTTTTAGGTGTGTGAATGAATTTGGATGATAAAGATACTGATTTTGAACTTAAATAAACTGTACAGATATGTAGTTTTACTCCTTGAACTAAACTGAAATGAATTTTAGAAACCAATCAAAGATGAAAGTGAAATATCATAAAAGAAGAACTTATTGAAACATTCCTGCAGCATAATCTATGTCTTTCTACCATGTAATTGCATATATCGAATTAAACTCATTACAATTCAGAATCATGATATAGTACTCTAAATATTGGACAACATACACATAAGTTTACTAATGTATTTTGAAGATTGTAAAAAACGATGAAAGTCATGCTTGAAAAAAATCAACATAACACTGGGTCTGCAAATTTACATGTGACAAACAGACTTGTAAACTTACCGAGCTCATTTGAATCCCTTTCTCCTTCGATTCATGGTGTTGGAGGATTTCCAAGCGAAGGAGTATCACACAAACATAAAGCGAGCAACATACCTATTAGCTGTAAATTAACATGATATTAAACTTAAGGTAATAGTGTAATAGCTTTAAACAAATATCATAGAAATAAAATTGTGTATTATAATATAAGAAAGTTATCTAAGGATTGAACGAATCACATAAATTGAAAAGAAAAATCCATGTAGAATTGAAGAAGCGTGTATCATGTAAATTTAAAATGAATCATGTAAAATTAATGATAGATGATAGATATTTATTCTATGAATCTAATATAGAACTATACCTGGACTTATATTAAAATTTAGCTGGCCGCATGAATGTGTGTGCTTGCGATCTACTCAACTCTAATGGACCTATGATCAAATTAGAAGAAGGGGTGTTCATATAATGCATAAGGCAAATAGAATTAATCAGAGTTTTGCATAAGAAAACTAATAGAAAATTTTGACAAAAAGTTAAAAACCAAATGGAATTTGAAAATTGGAATGAAGTCAATTAAAAAATATCAAAATAGAATCATAGAGAAATCTGACAAAAAACCAAACATGAAAGAAAAGATGCTCAATCATTTAAAGACTAACTGTGGTGCTTTGGTTTTTAAAGTCATACTTTCTATGAGTAATGTCAATACAAAAGCTTTTAAGAAAACAACCTTTGTCCCTAACAATGAACATGCATTACTCCAACATGTGGCTCTCATGTAAAAATGCAATCTTTTCTATCTTTTTGGGCAATGATTTGGTAACACTAAGAATATAAGTAGTGAAAATGGCAGTTTTTAGTATAACACATATTGCCTTTTGTTTGGGTTTAAAATCATTACCCTATTCGTAAATAAAGTTAGGGACCGATGCAACTTATGCAAGACAGAGTACTTATAAATTGAAAAGAAGAATGTGCATTGCTGGTTACACCTCCAAACACCTTTCGAGGATGAGAAAGGCTACTGTAAGGAATGAAATCCTTTTCAATGCATGTATAAAATAGTTTGTGAAACTCTTGGCAGTGAAGTATTGGATTGAAAACATATTCCAGAAAAGTTTAGCAATTTTTCATCAGATTCCTCCAAAAATTGCAATTAGATCTGAAAAATTTGTACGCTGTAACTTCAATCAGATTAATTGATAGTTTAATTCATGTTTACATGTTGTTTCAACGGGGTTCTAGTATAACATTCAATACATGTTAATATATTCATCACCTTTAACAAATCAAGATTCTAGAATTTCACTTTCTCCAAATTTCTTTACAGATAATTGCTAAATTTTCAGATCACATAACTAATTATCTAATATAATAATGAAATTGAGAATATGGAATTCATAAAATTAATTAATAAAATCAATGAAATTAATTAAAAAAATATACCTCATCTCTGAGTAACGAAGAAGGCCTTCGACAATGAACACGCTGATTCCTCTTCAAATTCGGAATCTACAGCTGATCGATTGTTTAGGGAGAGAGATGAACGCCTTCGACAATGAACACGCTGATGCCTCTTCAATTTCGCCATCTACAGTTGATCGATTGTTTGGGAAGAGAGTGAAGGCCTTCGACACTGCACGCCGATTCTTATGCAATTCCAGCATGTACGACTGATTCATTGTTTGGAGAGAGAGATGAAGGCCCTCCACAATGACCCAAGAGAGATATTGATGGATTAGGTTGGGGAGAGATGACGTCGGATCGGAGATGAAGGCTGATCGATGAGATTAAGGCTGATTGAAGTGGCCATGAGACTACCGGGGAGAGAGATGAAGGCTGTTCGATTTGGCTGGGACTCCTGGGAGAGAGATGAAGGCCTTCATCTTGCTGAAATGATAACAGAGTGACATTTGGCGGAATGAAATAACCGCAGCCATAGATTGAAATCATATCGCGCGGATGAGATGGCTTAGACGTTGAGCGGGAAAATGAGGTATTCTGAAGTATTGCAATTATGTAGAGTGATTGCAATTATGTAGAGTGATTATGTAGAGCGATTTTATATCAAATTTGGCGCGTGCATCAGATTCATTCACATTTCTTATACAATAACTATAGCATTAAATATGGAGTATTTATTATTTGGTCCAAAGCCTTTTTATATATTCCTTAGAACATTGTGCCCAAGGTAAGGTTGAATATAGGGAGGGGATGGCGGGGTCGCGACTATATCAAGACAAACTCCAATAATAATGTATAAAATGTATACATTTTTTAATATAAAAAAATATAGGGAAAATGCTCACTTAGGACCCTCCACTATAACGGAATCGTCACATAAGGTCGTCATGTACCCAAATAAATGTCATATAAATACGTCTACATATAAAAAGCAATCAGATCGGATGAGTCCAAACGATCCGTTGACAACCTCCTCATCCCGATTTTAGCTTACGTGTCATTATTTTTGTCTTGTATCTAAGTCAATCCTGGCCAAATATTTCATGTTAACCTTATAATCTATTTTAAAACGATAGGAAGACATACGCTAAAATCAGGATTACGAAATTGTCAACAGGTTGTTAGGACTCATATGATTGCTTTTTATAAATAGACATAGTTATATCACAATTTATTTAGTACATGATCTTTTGTGACGATTTCATTAAGATATCATTTGATCCTTTTATCAAAAAATATAATGATATTTTAAATTTGGCCGATAAAATTTTAAAATCTCTCCCCTTAATAATAGACTTCTGGCTCCACCACCGATTCGCCATTGCATCAGTTAAGTTGTACTCCCTCCGTAACATTCATATCTTCCCACTTTTCTTTTTTGGATGTAACATTCATATCTTCCCATTTCTAAATCTTCTCATCATACCCCCAATAATTTTAAAAATAATACACTATTACACCTACTTTTTTTGGATTTATCCTTCATTCCATCACATTATTTCACTATCTTCCCACCATATCCTCAATAATTAATATCTTCTTTCACTATTATTAATCTACCTACTTTTCAAATGGGAACATATATACGTTACGGAGGGAGTAATTTTTTTTCAAGGAAACAGATTACTCTGTATATTATATCAACGCAAATTCTCAAAGATCTTTCAAACATCGCCAAACATCCTCATGAGGCTCCACAGAGCCAAAAGGGACTCCCACTCTTTGGCTAGATATAGAATAGATCACGCATCAGTTGTAATATTTGAATTCCTGAACATTTATACGAAACATTTTAAATAAAGGTCTTCATGGATGGGGTCACATTATTCCATACACGATTACCATATGTGAAATCAATTTGATAATAATACCTAAAAGGATATATAAAATCATACTTCGTAACACATTTCATGAAATGAAATATGATCATATTGTTTTTCGTAGAGTAGAACGCATTTAAAGAGAGAAACTATACCTGATTTATTCCTTTATTAGGAAGAAATAGATTCTGATTTGGGAATAAAATATAATGAATCATATTTTTTAGTTTATTAGGAAGAAATAGATTCTGATTTGGGAATAAAATAGTTAAGAATAAATATACCCTGTGATAAATTAAATATTCAAAACAGTAATTAGCTATTGAGAAGAAAAGCTGGGTGGCTGGTTGCTGTTGTTAGAGTCAAAGTATTTATTTGTATATTTTTATAGTGCCGGTTTTCCTTAACTTTTGATTAGATCAGCTATGTATGAAAAAAGAGCATATGAATCATTCTGGGCCAGAAAATATCAGTTCCAACAACCAAGATCAAATTTTTATACACCCAACATATTTTGATTCAGATTGACAGATTCCTTAACTTTTGTGTTCAAGAACTGCTCAAGTATGTCAAGAGTTGAAGAGCCAATAAAAATGCTAGCTAGGTGGCTTGCTGGATTCAATGGGAGATCAGAGCGCCTAGCTAGATACTAATCGAGCTAAGCTAAAAAGACCCAATCAAGGTGTTAATTTAAACAGACCCTAACTGGGCGGGTTCCATGGCCAAATACAGAGGAGGAGGAGTACTTTACCACCAGCTATTAGGCATAATGTTTTTACAAAAATGGATTTAACAAAAAGTTGATGTAGTATCACACAATTATCATTAATACAAATAGGATATATGCCCGATAATCTTGATAAGGAGAATAAGGAATATTTCACTCGCTTATTTGGTTGAAATCATTCCACTGATTGCAAATCTTGTATTTATAGTAGTATAACACTATAACATATACAAAAACCCATCTCAACATGCAACAAAATCCTAAAAACTAAGGCGCGGTTTGTTTCTTGGCGGATTCGGACCAAACCGCTGCAAAATGCAGCGTTTTCATTTGTGTAAAACGGCGGATTGGAGCTCATCCGCTATTAAACAAACAGGGCCTAAGTCACTCTTTTGTGACAACTAGGTGTTGAACCACTCCGAGTAGTTTAGACAAAAAGGCATGGAATGGAAAAGAACTAGACTAATTGAAACTATGCTTCTAGCTTCATGGGCAGACTCTTTGTTAGAACATAAAAATCCTTGCAAGTATGAAACAAATAAAAATTAGCATTATCAGCATTTGTCGGAGTTGTCGGTCCACGGAATGGCGAGCTATGTTTTGAAGCTTTCTGTTTACTTTTTGCCTTGACAGACTCAGTCATATTCATATAGCTTGGGGGTTGAGATGGATGATGAATCGGTGGTTGTTGCTCTATCATCATCAAAATGATATTTTGAAGTCTGATCAGACTGTGTGCACCAGGACTTTCCCACGTCTTGATTCTTTTCCCAAAACCCGTGTAGAAGATTTGTGGTTTCTCTTGATCTTCACTGACTGGTTGTGATCAAGTGGTTGGGAGAATGATCTTGTTGGTCCTGAACGTCTGGAAACGGCAGTTTCACCATCTTCAATTACTAACCAGCTAGAGTCCTGCCCCTTGTTATGATCATCCATCTTTAGAGTCACCCTCTTGTTTGTTCTTGAATATGAGGAAACTTTGGTTCTTGGTTGCTACACAATTGTATCAAGACACATCATTACATCACAGCTATGTAAAAAGAACTAAGCAGAGAAAATAAATCAAGAACCAGAATTAGAATTCAGGTTTGTTACTTTGATATGAAATAACTTCCATATTTCGAATGAGGAGAACTAAATTAAGTTTAACTACGCATTCGTATCAGGACAAAACATTAACCCAAATTTCAATCTATCGTATTATGTAGGTTTGTTAAATTTGATAGAATAAAATAATATTGATGTAGCGTCTCAAAGTGATTGATTTAAAAAAAATATAAGAGTTATTAAATGAGGCAATCAATTATTTAGGTTAGGTTAGTGGAATTAATATAAATGGTTCATGATTATGGTATTTATTAAGTGACTGCAATGTATCAACAAAACTAAAACCATGAATGATTTAATTATTGATGTGTGCTTGAAAAAATCAAAATGGCAATCAAGTAAAATAAGTAATACATTTAAAGCATTACAACATATATGAGGCTATACTTGTGTTCTCCTCGGACGCATATCCATTTCATTTATAAAACTTTTCCTTTGGTGCCTACAGATTTGAGCAACTATAGTCCTTTTACCATGCTCTCATGTCATGCATCGTACATAATATCTTTAGCATATTTACGGATGTACGTGCTTAATTTGTACACCTCCAGAATGACAAGATTTACAGTTATTTGTAAACGTGCACACCTGGCATCACATTTTGCTTCCAATATATTGCTTCCTATATATTGGTGCATAATCGTCGACCGCAACCAAATGAATCGTCATGGTGTGATTGTGCAGGATAACAATACATCATTGTAGGGGTGGGAAAACGGGTCTTGGAACCGCGGTCCGGTCCGGGTAATGGCGGTTCAGGTCCAAAACGGGCCGGTTCCATTTTTTGTTTCCATAAAACGGTCCGGGTAGGGTCGGGTAATTTTTTTTAAGGAACCGGACCGGTTCCAAAATTAAAAAATAACGGGTACCCGGCCCGGCCCGTTATATATATTGTATATTAATTTATTAATAGTTTTGTGATAATCGGTTTTGAAATAGTTTTGTTTCCTGTGCTAGAAGTAGGATTTTAAATTGAGTTGCATTAACATCCTTTTGTTTTCAAATTATTGATTAAATGTTTCATAAATATCTTATTACTTTTTATTGTTATTGAATTATTCCTTTCTATGGAATTTAATTATTTGTTAAAGATGATTTTGTTATATTTTTTTATTATATTGTTATTAAAATATATAAATTGTGTTTACCACCCACCATGTATGTGTCAACTTTGGCTAATACTAATAAATTAATATAAAAAAAAGCAATCACTTTAATATGTGATGTTAGACAACATGTTTAAATACAAATGTTAGAAAATATGTATTTTGGCTATGTTGCATATTTTTGGAATTTCTTTAATTGTTTGAAACTTATATACAAGAAAATATGGAGTATTGGACTTTTCGCTTGTGTTATATATGAACCACTATGTTGTTATTTTGAAACTTGCTAATGTCCTATATTATTGATTATTGATTTTTGTAATTTCGTGAGTTTTTACTAATTTCAAGACATGAGAATAGAAACCGTAAAACCCGGACCGGACCGACCCGTTTCAAACGGGCCGGGTAATTTCCGGTTCCTATTTTGAAAATTGTAATACCCGGACCAGACTGAACCGTACAATGGAACCGGCGGTTCCATTTTATTTTGCATTACCCGCCCTGACCCGGCCCATGCCCAGCCCTACATCATTGTCTTTGCTGTGAAAGATCCATAACATCACCTTCTATATGTCATTCTTCCAAATGTTTTTTAGATAAATAAACTCATCTTACTCCCGCATCAAACCGGTGGTGCGTTCGTGACGCAAATAGTAGTTAGAGAACTTTGTCATAAGTTCTCCTGACAAGTTATTCGCGTCGGTGGCGCGAATAATCGGAAGCATCGGACATCCCTTTACAACGTTATTGAAGCTTTCGGAAACATTTGTCGTGAGAATTTCGTAACGCTGTCCATCGTAGCATAGTGTGCACATTTCATTGGGAATTTTGTCCAAATATGCCAACGCATTCTCATTTACAACCTGAATGTAAGACATATTTTCGCAAGCTGGCTGGCACTCTGGCAGTACTCCGAGGTGAGCGAATTTTACCAATGTTCTAAAGGGTCTGATGATGAAATTAGTTCATGCCCTAGTGACAAATTCTCAACTAATGATGATGAAATTTGAATTTCACCAACCATATTTTAGAAAAAGTTGGTAGATTTAAACATTTCATTAAAGTAAACTTTAGAAGAAAACATGTTCTGATTCTTCAAATATTCAGAACAAACATATTCTTATATCTTAAAAGTTATCTATGTTTACTTACCACTTGAGAAATGGCATATGACATTGCCCTCTCCCTTCTGAAAATCCCATCTTGCTTCATTTGTAACTTAGAGTTTAATTCCTCTACTGTTCCACGCCTATTACACCAGTGTTTCTGCAGCACCCAAAAACATTAAAACACCATCATACAATTAAATATTCAAGTCTTAGTCCTTTTGGCATCTTTTTTATTTACTCATTGCGGCTGAAATATATGATACAAAAACATTTCCTATCAGAAAAATTCAGCATATTTAATCATTTCAAAAAAGAACCAGGCGTGCTCTTGACAAAATAAAATGAAGATTACGAGCGAAAGTTACCTCCGCCTGCCTGATTGGATCAATACACTACTAGAATTTTTGACATTTGCTGCTGCCTATTTGCTGCGGTTCATATCAATCCGCAGCAAAAAGTATATACTTTTAGAGTTTTTGCTGCGGTCGAAAGGAAACCGCAGCAAATAATATATACTTTTACGGTTATTTGCTACGGTCAAAAGGAAACCGCAGCAATTAGAAACTTATTTTAGCTTATTAGCTGCGGTGTAAGAGTACCCGCAGCGAATAGGATTCATTTCCCTCCCCTTATCTTCTACTACCGCGCATGGCACACCCAAAACCAACCCTCCATTCTAGGTTTTCGTCTCAGCAGCTCAAGCCAGCCCCTATCTGCGATTATGACCGCCTCGCCCACGCGACGCTTCTGTCTCACGCCTCTGGCTCACACCGCTTCAACCTCGCGACCCCGTAGCCTGGCGCCTCTGCCTAGCAACGCCGCCTCGCGCCTCGGCTACCAAAGCCGCCTCGCGCGGGAAAATGGTTAGTGTTAATCATGTGCGTTAATGCGTGCTTGCACAGGTTGTTAGATGCTTGGATCCCCGTTACTATTTTTTGTTGAATAATTGAGTTTGTATGAATCGTTTTTCTCAGTTCATGATTATTTTGTTAATCCGAGTTTTGGGAATAAAATTATGCTTGATTTTTAGGGGTTAATTGAGAGCAGAGGTCAAGAACTGTGCAGATGGATCATACATGACTCTTGCACGCCCAATTAAGTTTTCTAGGGCTGAATTGCAAGCCTAATCGGTAGCTCTACCCATCCCCTATCTTGTGTCTTTGGGTATATTCTGTATATTTGCTCTATCAAACTGATTATGAAATTCATTAACAAACTGAGTATACGATCAAACTAATCAGTTTAGTATATCAACTTGTGTATACATCTATACTAACCAATTTAGTACAGCGTATCTTGTAAGATATAAATTAAGAATGGAAACAAAAGAAACATAAAAGAAGAGTGAAAAGTAGAAAAAATAGAGGATCATAACAAATAAATAAAAACTGAGGTGAATCTGCATTTTGGTCTGGTCTAGTACTAAAACTAGACAAAGTGACTAACTAATGTTTATTGTACAAGTGACTCACTGGTATCATATATAGCTAATTGAATTGGATGGCCTGGTCTAATTTTAAAACAATGGTTTCAACAATCGGTATTCTACTTTATTGCTGTTATTGTATAAAAATATAGTCTTCACTCCTCAATTGTATCACGGTATCATGTTTTTAGTGCCTCCACTCAACACTTTGCATCTATTTGAATCAATTATTTGTTAAACTAATCTGAAATGAGTGTGACTATACACATTGACATTAAACTTTATCAAATATTGATTTTTTGACCTAGAAATAAATTAAGCCCCATCATTTAAATCAATACTGTCTATTTCCTAATCTAGTTTTACTTGAAGATTGTGAATCAATACTAGTTCTGTTGTTGTCTGGTGTATTATTTGAAGTGCAAATATGGTTGATTGCTCTTAGGTTTAGGGAATTGGTTCGTAAAAGTTCTCTAAGTGCCTGAAATATGCTATATACCTTGCCTACTACTCAGCCACTAAAATTGGATGACTTTTTAGACATTATATGACATTATACCAATTAAAATTGGATGACTTTTTAGTCATATTTGTTTTTTAAAATAAATAATGAATTATGCATTTCGCTGTTATCTGATTATTTCAAGTAGAAGAGTATTGTAGTTTCATAGCTTAGAGAAAATGCATCTGATGTGTGTAATATATGCTCACAGGGATGCTATGATGGAATTTCATATCAATTTGTCTGAAATGCCTCTAGGAAATCTGAGCAAGAGTAATATACTTTTGACGTATTTTTACCATATTTACCTAATAGAAATCTTCTTACCTTAACTCTTTGTATCGTCTTTTATTTTTTTTACTTCAATCTACCATTTTGCTTAGTGGAAGTCCTGATTTATAGTGGGGGTTTTATGTTGTTTTTAGGTTTTGAGGCATGAATGGAGATTTAACATTTGCTAATGAAACGTAATGTTGACCCTTCTTTCAAAGAAAGCCTCATTATTGAATATTGATGCCACCAACCGCTTCTTTCAAAGGGAGCCTCATTAACAGAAATGATGAGTATCGTGGTGCTAATGGGGCTAGCCATCTGTTTTAAATGATGTCCCTGTCAATAATTTGCTAATGCTCGTGTTCTTACTCTATTTCCATCTGCAGGCTGGTGCCAACGAATGTAGCTGTGGTGGGAAGATGGTTAAAGGATTATATGTAAAGCCTATTAAAGAAAATGATGTGCTTTTCTGGAGCATGGTTAGTTCCTTTTACCTGCTTTACATGTTCTGAATGATATTCCTCTTTCTCAGTTTTTGTAGCATGTTCGTCACAGAAAAACAAAGACATAATGTAATCAATTGAAAAAAGAAAACAATATATCCATATTTGACCGGACTAAAACGTATTTAAGCCACGTAAATATGGAGCCAAACAGGAATAATAAATCTGTTTCAAGACTTGCTCTTTTCTAGCCTAGCTTCCTCCATGTGGAACTTAATGAAGGAAGTTGAGTACTTTAATGGGGAATTCATAGCAAATACTTGTACTACTACTGATCCTCAATCGAATTCAGTGATGGGCGTAACGATGCCGTTTGGGGCTGCTCCTTTTCTTAGTTCCTGCTTTCTTGGCAAGAAACAACTTCAAGGTCTGGAAAATGTCTTGTACGTCCAGGTATAAATTCCAACCGCCCTCTTTCCTTTCTTGGTGTACTTAGTGAATATTTGGTTTTTGTTGATTTTCCTTTCCTACAAATTCCTTGGATTTTTACTTAATGAGCCTTTTGTGGTTTTTGATGCTTTTATGAATCTGAATTCTACAGCTTCCTAAATATAGAAACAAATTAGAAAAACAAAACTTGGATTTATTTTCTCCAGATCTAGGTCCTGTAATTTGATTTACAATATAAGGAGCATTTTGCAAAATGGGAAACAGTAGATGCCACTAGTTAATCTTCAACTAATTAAAGCCATGTATAACTTTTTCCCTGATTTTGATTCTTTTGATCACTTTATTTCAACAGGAAGTCACTGGAGAGGGAAAAACTAGAAGAAAGGAAAGGCTTCTGAAGTTGCAATGAGCTGGCCTGGTTTTGCTGAAGTTGCAATGAGCTGGCCTGGTTTTGCTGACCTTTATAGGGAAATTGATAAGGAACTTTATAAGTGGGTCATGTGCAAGTGATTTAAGTTTACATTTTATTAATATTGTAATTTCTTGTCTTTTTCTCCTACAATGAGTTGCTTCAGATGTGTTGGGAAAGTGAATATTAAGGCCAGAAGATTCTAATAAAAATCTTTTGTTGTTATTTGTTGTAACTACGAAGTATTTTATTACTCTAGTAGCTATGTATAGCCTTGTGGCTGAGCTGGCGTAGATTCAATTTGAAAACATCATTGCTATCAGACTTTTTGTTGGCCGACTACTAGTATTCTTTTGCTGCGGTTGTATCTTAGCCGCAGCAAATCAGCAATATGTATTTTTTTATATAAAAATTTTAATACTATTTGCTGCGGTTGTAAACCGCAGCAATTAACTTTGTCCACTTTTTGCTGCTCCCGCAATTGCTGCGGTTCAAAACCGCAGCAAATAGTCAAAAATGACCGCAGCAAATAGCTATTTTTCTAGTAGTGATAGATGTATGAACAGGTGATTGACCAGATTGAGATCTAATTCGGGCTTGAGCTCGAACAAGAGCCTTCATAGACCTTAGTGTCCGGGCAGCTTGCTTTCTCACTTGTCTGCCACAGAAAATGGCTTGTATCCTTACTACAGCTTTCAAAGCCCTCAATGCCAGCTTTGCCTTCCATCATCATTTCAACTATCTCCATGTTAGTACTAAGCATTTAAACTTAGCTATAGAAACACAAAAAAAGATGAATCTAACTAAAGTTAACCTGATAATAACAATGGCTACATACATTATAGTGAAAGTTCATATTTTTTGCGAGAGAAAAAAATTGTTAAAGAATTTTACTTCTTGGGTATAGTTTTAGAAGGAATTGACACTTGAGTACCATCAGACAAAAGCAAGTCTTCTTTTAATATTTAAAAAATGATTAAACTATTTCTGCCCCTAAATCTCTCATCAACTCTTCTCTCCCACACCAAAAAGTAAGCAGAGAAAAGTTACTTGGAAACGCCTACACTAGTATACCCATGGAGGGTGGTGTTGATCACTGGCGGCCATGGTATCACTTGACAATAACATACTAAAAGTGCCACATTCAGCCATTTTTTAATATGTTTAAAAAGTAGTGACATTTTTGTTCTAAACTGATTTAATAGATCAAATTCATTTATGAACATAAAGTAGATCAAACTGATTTATAAAAAATTTGGCTTTGGAAGCAGAATGTAATGCTAAAATACCTTTTTACCCTAAAGGTTTCGAAAACTACTTACTTCACATACATCTTCTCTCCTTTTAAGGATCATCCATTATTATGTAGTCATTGTTTGAACCTAAATGATTCAACAGGATAGTAATTATAATGAGCAGAGGAAGAACTGAGGAAGACTAGTTTAGAAGCTGTTCCGTTCACCTGATCTGAATGTTTCTGATCTGAATTTTTTAAGTTCTGATCTGATCTGATCTGAATTTTTCTGATCTGATCTGATCTGATCTGAATCTTTCTGATCTGATCTGATCTGAATCTTTCTGATCTGATCTGATCTGATCTGAATAAAATAAGATTAAGGAATAAGTAATAAGATTAAGACGAACGGAACAGCTTCT